GCCTCCCAAAGTGCTGGGATTACAGGTGTGAGCCACCGCACCTGGCCTAAAAATCTTTCTTTATAAGTTAAAGTCTTATTAGCTGATGCCTTTTGGTCCTTATTTTCTAGTGAATTCACCTGGAAGCCTCTTTCAAACCTCTGGCAGGAACCAGAAGGTTTGCTACTACTCACTGATTTTTTTTTCCTTACAACTTATTTAAGGAGATCTCAACCTCCTTAAGCCAAAATATTCTTTTATTATTATTATTTTTATTTCAATAGGCTTTTGGGGAACAGGTGGTGTCTGGTTACCTGAATAAGTTCTTTAGTGGTGATCTCTGAGATTCTGGTGCACCCATCACCTGAGCAGTGTACACTGGACCCAACGTGCAGTCCTTTCTCCCTCACCCCTTCCCACCCTTTCCCCCAAGTCCCCAGAGTCCACGTATTATTCTGGTTTTTCTTTTTTTAGACAGAGTCTCACTCCATCGCCAAGGCTGGAGTGCAGGGGCGCAATCTCAGCTTACTGCAACCTCCGTCTCCCATTTCAAGTGATTCTCGTGCCTCAGGCTCCCCAGAAGCTGGGACTCAGGTGATCTCCCACTTCGGCCTCCCGGTGTGCTGGGATTATGGGCGTGAACCACCATGCCCGGCCGTTGTATTATTCTTATCCCTTTGCGTCTTCGTAGCTTGGCTCCCACTTATAAGTGAGAACATATGATGTTTGGTTTTCCATTTTTGAGTTACCAAAATATTCTCTTCATTACAATCAGCTTCTAATCCACAGTGGTCCAAACCAAATTTTCCTCAGGTTTTTTCAAAATCCTATTATCACTCATAAGTTCTAGTCAGAATGTTGTCTCTCCATTATACAATTGGTTATATTATTTCATATAATTTCTTTAAAAGCATTGATTTAAAAACAAAAATCACACATAAATGAAAATTGACATTTCATAAGACCATGTATATGTATTTATGAAGATAGAACAAGGACTAAAGTATAGATTATTGATTTATCACAGACTGCTCCCCTATTGTCATTCAGAGAATGGTCAAGAAGCCAGCTTCTCTGAGAATCCTATCTTGAGGCATAGATTCTGTAGTTTCTTTATTCCGCAGGAACTGCTATAGAAAGGAGTACTTAAATAAAGTCTCCCTGGTCTAGGAGCCAGAACTCTACTTTAATCTGGGAGAAAACGGGGAAATAAAGTGGCCAGAGGCTAGAAGCTACTGCTTCTTTGCTCCAAGAGAAGGAAGCATGAGCCTCTATGAGGGGGTTGAGGTTTTTTGTTGGGGAGTTTGGGGCACAGAGTGTAAAAAAACTGGGTCTGGACAATAGTTAGCTATGAAGTATTTAAAAATGTAAAGGGGCTGGGTGCAGACGCTTATGCCTGTAATCTCAGTACTTTGGGAGGCCGAGGCTGGTGGATCACCTGAGGTCAGGAATTTAAGACCAGCCTGACCAATATGGTGAAACCCTGTCTCTACTAAAATACAAAAATTAGCTGGGCGTGGTGGTATGCACCTGTAGTCCCAACTACTTGGGAGGCCGAGACAGGAGAATTGCTTGAACCTGGGAGGCAGAGGTTGCAGTGAGCTGGGATTGCACCACTGTACTCCAGCCAGGGCGACAGAGCAAGACCCCGTCCCATAAAAAATAAATAAATAAATAAATAAATAAATAAATAAATAAATGAATAAATAAAATGTAAAGGGGCCAGGCGCAGTGGCTCATTCCTGTAATCCCAGCGTTTTGGGGAGGCTGAGGTGGGTGGATCACCTGAGGTCAGGGGTTTGAAGCCAGCCTGGCTAATGTGTTGAACCTGCATCTCTACTAAAAAAAAAAAAAAAGTTAACTAGGCATGGTGGCGGGCTCCTGTAGTCCCAACTACTCAGGAGGCTGAGGCGGGAGAATCCCTTGAACATGGGAGGTGGAGGTTACAGCGAGACTCCATCTAAAAAAAAAGAAAAAAAAGTAGAAGAAAGTAAAGGCAGACATATTCTTTTCAGACTTACGGTCAGTTCTAGAATGAGAACCGAGGCAGGAATGAAGACACAAACCAACACTCCCCCAAAGATATGTAAGCATCACATTAAATTATAGTTGGTGTGAGTACAGCTTAAGAAAATACTTGAAGGCAGGTTACTGGATTTATGTATGACTAACTCCCTTTTAAGAAAACCAAGGGTCTCAGCAAGTACAGTAGTTCCCAGAGTTTTTAATTCAGAGATAAATACATTAAAATAATTGGTAACTGACTTCAGTAACCTCTTTTTGTTATTTTTTGAAAAAGGATACTTAAAAAACACTACAATTTATTGTTACCATGGTTTTGGTTTTTTTTTTTCCACCAGAAAAAAAAAATAGTAAAGGCACAGCCTCACAATTATATACAATTCTTGAAATTAAGTACATTCAGGTTTATGAAAAACTCAGGACATTGTCCTATTTTTTTTCCTCCTTTTATCAGGGTCATTTTTTCATCAACTAGCTGATTCACATAGAAAAATCCTGAAACACATATTATTTATCTTCAGAGAAATTCATGTTGATGTTGTTAGTCACATCAAATATCTCAGCCAGACAACATTATTTGTTGAATCTTCTAGTCAGTAGATTTTTAAAAAAGGGCCTGATTCCTGCCCTTAATAGAAAAAGGGCACTGTTTTCAGAAAAAGTAAAGAAGGTATTAAACAAAAGAGAGATGTCCATCTTCTTGAAGAAACAGTGAAGAAGCAAGACAGCAAGGGGAAATGGCTTGTCGAGTTTCTTGAATATTTAGAAATAATCAAGATCATTTTCAAGGGTCAGGTACTCTCCCTCATTTTAAGAAAAAACTCCTTCATTCAGGGAAATCACTTGAAACTTTAAAGATGTATCAACAATTACCCCATAAATTTATACAAACAAAAAAGGACCTATCAACAAGTGGCAAACCTGTTAAACACATGGTCTATTATGCAATACTTAATTGATTACTAATAGTAATTGTGCACTCATTATATACAAAGTACTCCTCTCAATTCTGAGGTATGGGGAGAGAGCTGCAAAAAATAGGTCCCTATTTCATGGAATTTACAGTTTAGGAATCTGTAGATGGGTAAACAAACCACAATGACTAGGTCAATCCAACAGAAGCACTGATCATTTGTTAAAAAGCAAATCGTGAGCTCATATTCAATCCATTATTTTCTTTAAAGAAGAATTTGTGGTCTTTTAAAAAAATATTTATGCTTCCTGTGATGCATCATAGCGACTCTTAGTCTGAAGTAAATTTGCAGTCAGCCAGGAGACGTCCCAAATCATGTCCTGGCTGCCGATCACACAGACTACCACCTGGTTTCAGCTGAAGATTCTTTTAATTGGATTTTTTTCTGTGTTTCTGTTTTTCACTGGAGTTTGTTTTTCTCTGTTCCTCTCCCTCGAGGAAAGTGGAAATTTGGTTACTTTTTTGTGATGAAAGTATACTGTCATTTATTATTATTGTCATTATTGTTATGAATGTTGAAGCCTGGCTTTTACAAGCCTGGAAGGCTGCGGCGAATGGCATGTGAGAGGCGAGGTTTGCGGGAGGATACCAGCAGGTGGCGCGTGTCTCCTCCGAGCAGATTAGAATGCTTTGCTCAGGGCCAATAATCTCGTAGGAATTAAGGGCGACTATCTGTGCAGTCAATTCAAGTGACACAGATCATGCCATACTTAAGTGCCGAGTCCGTGAAGTCACCAGTTTCAGCCTGTTGCCTAGGCCATCACACTTCTGCATTACCACTTAAAAGACCAGCTCCCCTACTCCAAGGGTTGCATTGCTTTCGGGCTTGACACCCCGCCTCCCCCCCACCTCCACCCCCGACTCATTTTCCCCAAACCAAGTCGCTCATAGGGGACAATCAAGCCTTAAGAATAGAGCAAAAATAAAGGCCCTGGAAAGTTGGACATGAAGCTTTAACTTCAGGAAAGGAATGGTACTTTATTAGTCTTCCAGCTGGTCTGCCCTTAGGGTGTCAGATGTTCTCTGTCGCCCCTGGTGTGCTAGCATCGGCCTGGGTGCCACTGGGTGGCTGATGGCAGAATGTGAATTCACTTGCAAGCGGACATGTTTGTTTCCATGCCCCAAAGCAGGAAGAAGAAGGGCACAAGGACACTTCGATGGTTCTTTCAGCTCAGACTCGAGCTGTGAGTGATTTGCTGGTTGGGGTCACTGGCTTTCTAGCCTCTCCTGGCACCACCCAATTTCGGGGAGCACCACCCAATTTCTCCTACGACAATGTCTTCTGTCCTCCATAAACACTGCCCTCATTTTGAGTTTTTCTTTCCTATATCTGTAGCTTTCTTCTGCCGCTTAGCAAACACTCTGTCCCACTCGTATTCGTCCCTTGGCGCTGGCGTCTGGCCCAGTGGTATACTGTGAAGGAGGGCAACCCTAGATTCTGAGGGCCACTAGCTCGAATCTAGCGCCCCTCTAACTGCAGGGGTGACCTTAGATACATTTCTTAACTTCCTCTGTAGACTGAGGAGAACGATTTTTGCCCTCCTAACTTACGTAGGCTCTCTAAACCAGCGCCTGGTTCATCGTAAGCGCCCAAATGCCGGGGGCATCTGCAGGGATGACCCCATAGTGAAACTGCCTCTTGGGGATCTCTGGGTTAAACAGCCAGAATAACTGGCAGAATTGAGAGAACCCTCTCCTTTCCCAAACCTCGCTGTACTTCAAATCCCATTCATTGCCTCCCGCCGTTTTATCCGTGTTCTCAGATCACCCCCCTACCCCGGCAACCTCCAGTCCCCTAAAGCCTCCTGGGCGGCAAAAGGACGCCCAGAGAGAGGAGCAGGCGTCCAGCCCCGCCCTGTACCCCGATTGCGGGGCGGATCGCGGCAGGGCGGCGGAGGCCGGCGGAATAGGCGCGGAGGAAGGCTCGGGCGGGACAGACTGCGTGGGGGAAGGAGGAGGAGAGAGCAGACGGCTGAGGAGGGCAGAGCCGCCGGGAGGAGGGCGCAGGGGCGGGAGGAGACACATGCGCGCTGCCGCCGCCGCCGCCGCCGCCGCCGCAGTCCTTAGCTTCCCGGGGACAGGAAACCTTCAAGACCGAGATACCACGGCCGCCTCCCCGCCCGCCCCCCATTCTACGCGCCTGCCCACACCCTCCTCCCCTCCTTCCAGCGCCTTTCGGTGGAGCACTGCGGCACTCAGCCCGAGCTGCCGTTTTCCCCTCGCGGGGAACGCTGTGACCCCCCCGCAGGAGCGGCGGGGCGGGGTGGGGGGGCCCGGGAGAAGATGGCGACGCCGGGAAGCGAACCCCAACCTTTCGTCCCGGCCCTTTCGGTAGCTACTCTGCACCCACTTCATCATCCCCACCACCATCACCACCACCACCACCACCACCACCATCAGCACCACGGAGGAACCGGCGCCCCCGGCGGGGCGGGCGGTGGCGGCGGCGGCAGCGGGGGCTTTAACCTGCCCTTGAACCGGGGTCTGGAGCGCGCGCTTGAGGAGGCGGCCAACTCCGGGGGGTTGAATCTGAGCGCCAGGAAATTGAAAGAATTTCCCCGTACCGCAGCCCCCGGGCACGACCTCTCGGACACGGTGCAGGCAGGTGAGTGAGGGCCGAGGGGGCGGGCAGGGGTGTGGGTGCTGTCTGGGTGTCTGTCGTGCGTTCCCTAACGCGGTGGACAGTCGGAGATCTTGTCTTGCTTGGGGAGGGGGGTTCCATCGGCCCGTTGTCTCCCGAAGAAGGGACTCGCGTGGGCGCGGAAGAAGCGGGCCCTGGAGAGGGTATGGGGGCCCTGCCTCGTCCGGCGGTGCAGTGCCAGGAGGGCAGGGGTGCGCCGGGCCTCTGCGCCTACGAGCCAGGGGTCTCCGGCTCTCCACCCTGTGGCTGCCGCGCCGGGGAAGCAGCCGCGGGGCTGGGACTTGCAGGCGCGCCGCGTGCGCGCAGTGTAAGTGGGAGGTTTCAGGCGGCCGCGTCGGCTTCCTGGGCCCGGCGCAGGGCTGGGAACTCGAGCGCGGACAGCGGCGTCGGCGCCTGCAAGCAGTTCAAGCCGTCTTTGCACCGAGGCGTCGCCCATCCTGGTGGGGAAACCCAGACAAAGGTGGCACGCCCTCGGCCGAGCCAGGGGCATCGGCGCAGTGCCGCGAGCCCCCTCGGCGACATCGCCGAGCGATCGGGCAACTCGGTGCCTCCTGAGAGGTGCCCAGGCTTCCTCTTCCTGCGCCTGTGCGGGAAAAGAGCCGCCGGGCTTGTAGTGAATCCGAATCAGCTGCCGCTTCGGAAGCGATCGGCTCTCTTCCTTGCGTGCCTTTCGCTCACCGCCCACATAGTTTGGGTCCTACCACCGAGGGTACCTGGTTCTCAGTTACCCAACCTTTGTGGGGGCCCCGGGAAAGGAAGGCATGGCATATTAAAAGCAAAGTAATTAACGTGAGCCTGTTTTCCTGTGTGAGCCCGGCAAGTTGTAACTCGCGCCAATAAGCAGCATAACTTTTTCAAGTTACGTCATGTGTTACATATAAAACGTCTGCTTTCTCTTTGGTAGTTGGAGTTCCAGGAGCGGGATCTATAAACAGGAAGGAGGGTGGTGGAATGGGATTGGGGCCTTAGGGTCTATGCAGAACTGACTTGATTTCCGACCATCCGGTTCCGCTCCCTGGGGGAGGGTTTGTGTCATAGCAAGCGCCCAACATTTCCCAGGGCAGTGGGTGCTCCGTTTTGGAGCCGCTGCCCAGACCTCTTGGCTGTCATCGCCTCATGGCCCGGGATCAGACCCCCTTGGATGGGTTGACTCTCAGCACTGGAGCACCCAGTTTAATCTTGTAGTGGGAAGGGAGCAGGCGGTGGGTTTTTGGAGGCTAGGTTTCCAGTGTCTTTTCCCCCCTTTAATTCAGTAAACATTAATCTAGAGCTTTAATGAATATTTATAGAGTTCTGAGTTCACTGGAGGCAAAGATGGCTCTCCAGGGTCGTTAAACTTTGTAATTTGGATTTAGGGATAGTCAGGAATCGGCAAAAAAGAGGGAATTTCCAAAGTTGAGCTGTCAACAGCTGGGGAGTCTCTTTCAATAAGACATCTTAGTTACATCTTCTCAAGTGGAAGTTATTCCAAGAATTGCCTGAATCATTAACTTAAAAAAATACATTAACTTTTACTTCCTTTCTGCCATAGAGTGTACCGTGACCTAGCTATGCAATGGTTGGATTTATCTGCAGAAAATAGAGCTGGCATGACCAATAATAATAGGTTTGTGTAGTTCAGTAAGGGGGTTTCATAGTTGTTCTACCTCAGTTATGCTAAGGATTATTTACAAAGGTAGGTGAACTTGATGTGTCTGCTGTGTTGGCATTTCTTTGAGAAGACCAGTGCTTTTAAAAGCAGGGACCACATCTTTTAGCTAAGACCTTGCCATGTGAAGTGGATGCTGAAAAGTGTTCTTCTTCTCCTCTTGGCTTGTTTATGACAAACTTAAGTTGTGAGTTCTGCAGGTTTTTATTTATGAGCTCACTTGCACATGTTTTATGCTCAGGAAAATCTAGCTGGTTAAAATTCAGAGGTTTTATGTTAATTTCTCATCCAAAAATACCATATTATTTGGGAGAAGAGGAATGGAGGGATGTAACCTATGTTTGTAGAAACTTAAGTCAACCCCATCAGAAAAGTATTCACCGTAGCTAGTTATTTTACGTGAAATTAGAATACCCAAATGTATTAAATATTTGCTTCTGCAAAACGTCTTTGCCTCAAGTCAAAAGCTAGGTGTAAACCACAGGTGTTCTTTGTTCTAAAGATATATTTAATTGAGCACAGTTTCTTATTTGAAAGACCAAAAAGCAAAGAGTTAAAGTTACCTCCAGTGTACACAGTGTTGACACAGCCTACATGTAAGAGTTCTCCTGGAGTTGAAAGTTTGAGTAGTAACATTTAAAATAAAGATAGTGGTTTCTCCTTGACTCATATTTACTTTAAGAATGTCTCTTAAAATTAGAATGGCATATGAAGATCCTTAAAGGCCTAAGAGGCAAATTGCATTTTTTTCCCATACATTTTCTAAGTCAGGTAGTGGTGGAGCAAGCTTTTTCTCACTGGTTTGTTGTATAATACAGGCCATTTGGTTTACACCTTGTAAAAAGTCAGGCTTCTGGCAGCCACCTGTGCAGAACTGCACTCCTGGGCAATGTGGCCTATCTGAACAGGGTGCATAGGCTACATACATAAACAAAAACGTAGAATAGATGTCTAAGCCGTCACTCAAGTGCATATACTTTATTGATAGGAAAAAAATCCAAGCTCTCATTTTGAGCCTATTAATTTACTTCTATTTGAATCAAAATAAGTTTTCTTGTCAGCGTCTAGTCTTTTAATAGTTAAAACGGGGAAAGACTGATCCACGAAGTGCAGTGACACAGGTGTCACTGATGGAAAGGGACAAAACAGAAGAGCCACTATCAGCACTGGGTGCGCCTCTGTATACGTTACCTGCGTGATCTTAGTCCCCACTAGGAGCCCAGTCATACCCTCATTTACACATGGGAAGATTGAGATGGAGACAAGTCAGGTAGTATGCTGCAGATTATACCTCTACTGAGATGGTCAGCCAGTGACTGGAACCCTGATGGCCTCACGTTAATTTATGTTCTTGACCATATTCTCATCAAGCAGAGGGAAGGGGTTGAGAGGTAGAATGTGGGAGGCTTCCTGGAAATTCATTCAACCAGCATTGATTCCACCAGAATGTATGGAGTCCTACTAAGTGCTGGCCACTGATCTAGGCACTGGGGACACAACAGTGTGCAAAAGAGAATTCCCAGTATCCCTTCTCGTGGAGTTCATTCTAGTTGGAGAATGGGGAGATACACGAATAACTTGATTTTGCAGGATAAGTAGGATGAGTTATAGGATAGATATAATATCTTTGTTTTATAAATACAGAGATTGCTTTGTATCAACTTGAGGTGGCTTGTAGCAAGAGCATAAATGATGACTAGTAATACATATAATCTGAAGCATTCAATTGGGCCAAAGAAAAAGAAGTACACAAATTTGCACATGAGTAAAGCAAACTTTTTGGTGCTGATTTATTAAGTAGTGTCATTTTGGATGAAGAAGTTCAAAAGGATATTTTGTACAATTGAAAGTGAATTGAAAAGAGGAGTAAGAAAATAAAGTGTCTGCCTCAGGATGATTGCAGAAGGTTCTAGACAATGAAAAAGAAGCCCTTAGACTTGACATACAGGACACCTGTTGTAAGTTAGTCTTGTTAAGGAGAGGCGGGAATGTTTCATTGCTAGTATCATTTTGAGTTGGCTCTAAGCAAGAAAGACTGGGCCAGGCACTGTGGCTCACACCTGTAATCCTAGGACTTTGGGAGGCCTAGGTGGAAGGACTACTTGACCCCAGGAGTTTGAGACCAGTCTGGGCAACATAGTGAGACCCTGTCTCTACAAAAAATAAAAAAGTTAGGCCTGGCGTGCTGGCTCACACCTGTAATTCCTGCACTTTGGGAGGCCGAGGTGGGTGGATTACCTGAGGTCAGGAGTTTGAGACCAGCCTGACCAACATGGTAAAACCTCGTCTCTACTGAAAATACAAAAATTAGCCAGGCATGGTGGTGCGTGCCTGTAATCTCAGCTACTCAGGAGGCTGAGGCGGGAGAATTGCTTGAACCTGGGAGGCGGAGGTTGCAGTGAGCTGAGGTCGCACCACTGCATGCCATCCTGGGCAATAGAGGGAGACTCCGTCTCAAAAAATGAATAAATAAGTAAATAAATTAAAAAACTAGCTGGGTGTGGTGGTGCATGCCTGTAGTTCCAGCTATGTGGACGGCTGAGGTGGGAAGCCCATAGGTTGAGGCTACAGTGAAAGCCATGATCGCACCACTGCACTCCAGCCTAAGCGACAGAGTGAGACCCTGCCTTAAAAAACAAACAAATTGGCCGGGCACGGTGGTTCAAGCCTGTAATCCCAGCACTTTGGGAGGCCGAGACGGGCGGATCACAAGGTCAGGAGATCGAGACCATCCTGGCTAACACGGTGAAACCCCGTCTCTACTAAAAAATACAAAAAAAAACTAGCCGGGAGTGGTGGCGGGCACCTGTAGTCCCAGCTACTCGGGAGGCTGAGGCAGGAAAATGGCGTAAACCCGGGAGGCGGAGCTTGCAGTGAGCCGAGATCCGACCACTGCACTCCAGCCTGGGTGACAGTGCGAGACTCCGTCTCCGGAAAACAAACAAACAAACAAACAAACAAACAAAAAACAAAGACTATATGGGAAACAAAGAGCTTACTCAGGGAAGAATATTGAAGTGCACCATTAAAAATACCCATTTATGTGTGAGGGCAGAGTTCTGTAGGAGATGCAAAGTGTAAGACAATACAGGAATCCGTAAAATGCTAAGTAACAGTTCCAGGAAGCTGCTGAGGCCCAAGGCAGGTCAAGATGAGATGCCAAGTAGCACTGATGGACGTCGTGTGTAGAATTCAGAGGAAAAGGTCATTTTCATGAGGATGCTTAGGAAAGACTTTGATAGCAGAGGTGGGATTTGGATCAGGTTTCCTAGGATGGATAGGATTTAGATAGAAGTGCCCATGAATATTCTGTGAC